TTGTTTTAAACCAAGAGATGAAAAATGCTTGTAGCATCATTTTGATTGTGTTACTGAAAATTGTTCTGAATCGATTGCGTTTGTGAGAATTATGGGTGATTTCTCAAAAAAAAAAAAAAAAAAAAAAAAAACTTTCGATTTTCACCAATGTGTCAGATCTGACTCTTAGCTTGACTTGTTGACTCGAGCCTATGTTGGGTCCTTGCTTAATAACAATTATTTTATAATTTGAAAATATAAAATGTGCTATTAAAATCTTATAATCAATATAAATTGGTCGTTTGCACGTACATGTTTAATTGTCTCGACACAACCGACTTGTCTCTATACTAGGTCAAATCACTCAACTCAACCTTGCCTCTACTTAGGGCCAAAGTATTTCAACGCAACGTTGCATCCCAACGTCTCATCTTGATTCCCAATTAACATAGCTCATATATCTTGACGTCATCCCAAGTCACGGAGTATCATTGGTTATCGCAACTCACTCAATCATACCATCGAGAACGGACCCACATGTCGTTCCTTCCATCTAGACATTCCAAATATCCATCCATCAAGGTTGTATCGAAACATTGGCCCTCCTGTATCCACACATTGATATAGATAAGTTCCAACATGACGATCTCCGTTATTTCCAACTTAAATCATCCTTCATCTTTTCTTTTGACGAACTCTATATTCAGAAGATTCAAGCATCAACACATTTCGCATTCGAATAATAATTCTCATATATAATGCAACATACATAGAACTTTGCGCGTATGACATTTGATAATATTACGGAAAATTACTAAATTCAAAACTTAATCGTGAAATAGCTATAGATTCAAATGACATGGATAAAAATCAATTAATTCAACATCCAAGAGTAAAATAAATCGGAGATTCATTCTGCACAAGTTTTAGAGGCGAATCAGTTACTATTTTTTTTATAGGTTTCGGTTTACAATTTAGGATATCGTCCCATAAACCCAAAACCGAATCGAGTCAGTTCAGGTTCAGAAAAATGAACTCAAACCAACCTGAAAAGCTAATCCAACCCAACCCTCATAGTTTGGATTGGGTTGGTCCGGATTGCTGGGTTATCGGGTTGAATGTACACCCCTAAGGATTCAGGTGCATCTTTTCACACTGAGAATTAAAGCATCCCCAATATCTTCTGCTGAATTTACCGAATCATTGTCATCTTCTGATTTGTGATTCTGCTTCCTCTTTGTACAATCTACCCGAAAGTGACATTTTTCTCCACAACTCCAACACTTGAACGTTCCTCGATTTTGATCGCCCATTATTTAGGACCTTTGATTTACTTCTTCTCATTGCTTGATGAATTTCCAATTTTCTGTTTGCAAATACTTTCGCTAAGAATTACATCTCGAATTTCATCGAACTTCAGTTTATCAGATCCTCGTGAACTGCTAACCATAGCAACAACAGTATCTCACGACTCGGGTAAAGATGACATCAAAATAAGTAATATAATATACCGAGGGTATTTTGGGAAGGAAAAAAAAAAACCCTAAAACCCTAAATATAAAACAATTTTGGATATTTATTTATAATTATTAATTAATATTGTAGAGTCGCTTTCCCCTTTGTAGAGTCTCTTTTTGGAGTGTGCTATCTTGTATTGTAAATGTAGGGCTGATTCGGATTTTGTTAGTGGGCCCATATGTTTTGTCGTTTATTGCAATGGTTGGGCCCAGCCCAATATTGATGGGCCCAAATGAGGTGGGTTTGGGCCCCAAGTTAGGCCCACTCAAAAAGTAAGTGGAGTAGATGCCTCCATTTGTTTTGTCGTCTTCCTCTTTAATCATAGCATCTGTCCATTTCCGCAATTAAAATATTCACATGCTCCTTTTTATTTTTATTTTTTTTTCATAATTTTATCCAAATATATAAAGTTTTAATATTCTTATATTCTAAAATAAATATAATTAAATTTACTATAAATGATCAGATTGATTGCACGTTGAACCTTGATTTACACTTGTCGGGACTTTTCGGTTCTGGGACAGAGATTCTTTGAATAGAATAAGGAAGAAGACGAACACGACTCTTCACAATAGTATGATATTGTCAACTTTGAGCATAAGCTCTCACGGCTTTGTTTTGGGCTTTCTCAAAAGGTCTCAAGCCAATGGAGAGAGTATTCATTGATTGTAAACTCATGATCATTCTCTAAATTAGCCGATGTGGGACTTTCATCATCCAACAGGAGAAAGTCGGGGATGGACAATGTAGTCTCTGTCTCCAACCCTGTTTAGCTAACGAGAAGAAATCTATCTCCAGCCCGACCCCACGAATTAAATGGATATCTTCAAATAGGGAGACTGTATGTATCATGCTAATTTCGACGTCGTGGTAAAAATTGACCGACTGTATGTATCATGCTAATTTCGACGTCGTGGTAAAAATTGTAAAAAGGTCAAAGGTCAAAGGTCAAATATTTAAATTTTTTTCAAAAGGAAAAAAAAAACATAAATATTTTAAATAATTTAAAAAATAAATAAATATAAAAATAATGTTGGAATTTGAGTAGCGAATAAAGTAGTGTAAACAGTGAGGCGACATATTAAATGTTAAATAATAATAATAACACGACAAGTGTTAATCATTACCGGCTGTCACAGACAGGCACCGTTACAAAATTGACATGTGGCATGTCTTATTGGAACACGTTTTGTCTCTTGATTGGTGATTTTGTTAGCTGACTGCGCCAATTCCAAAGCTATTTTACAATTTTTTTTTTGTTTTTTTTGGAAAATTCCTAATTCTTTATATTTATTTATATAATGTGAAAAAAATGGGTCAATTCAAAATATTTTTCTTAAAAAAATAAATTAATTAGTATTTTTTTTTTAATTTGACTAGAAATATCCATATAATTTATCGGGACTCGCTCTCGAGCGAAAAATCCTCGTTTTAGAGAATGGTAGGGGAGTAGAAGATTTATCTACGCTGACTAAACACAGCCAAATTTCTCCCGACCCAATTTCTCGTCTCACTTCGGTTTATACTTGCTTTTTGTTTATCTGAGTAAGTACGTTGAAAAAGATGTTAGAATATTGAAATTTTAATTTTCAAAATTATACTGGTGGAATATTACAGTGCATTATAGTTAAAAAAAAAAAAAAAAAAAAAAAAAAAAAAAAAGCTTAAAATAAGGAAGGTTACATATTTTAGACCAACTTAAGATTTCAAATTGGTTGGATCCGTGTCTGGAACAAACAAAATAGAGTTCACAATCCAACCTAACCTTCTGTATCAACGTTACATTAATAACTAATTTTTTTTAACACGAGCATAATTAAATAAAATATTTATTAAAAAAATTGTTAATTTATGCATAATTCACCACATGGTAAATAAAAATAATAATAATAATTTATTCGATGACGATGATATTTAATTCTACGAGCGAATAAATTAATTTAAATATTTTAATTTTAAAAAATCTATTAAAATGAATGGACTCGAGAGAGAGGGATTAAATGGATCACATGGATGCACGTTGAACATGGGATATGTATAAGAACGCCAATAAAAAAACAAATGAGAATAAGACAAAATCATTTAAAAGAAATTTTCAAAACTGTTTTTTTTTTTTTTTTGTTTTCTAATAAAAAGTTATACATTTTTTTTTAAAACATGACAAGCCTGTAGCTCGAAAAACGATATGACACACGACTAACATACCGACAGATAATGGTAGAACACGCACGTGTTAATTTATTCATCCTCATATATTGTGCTTTTGTCTCTTGAATATATGCGTCGTTTTAATATATATTTAATTTTTTATATAATAATTATCGTGAAAAATAATTATAATGCGAATAATTTTCTTTTAATTTCTGTTTATGGTTATTAAATTAAATATTTTGATTTGATTGACTAACTTCCCTTTTTAAAAAATAATAAAAATCACTTAATATTGATAAATTCTTCAAAAATACATAATATCTTGACTTTTAAAACGTTTATATATAAATAAATCGAATAAGTGTTACAATTTTGGTCTTATCTTAATTTTTCAAGCTTAAGTTTACGGATGTTTACAAAGTTACGCGTAAGCTTTTTTCGTCCATGTCACCTACAAACATAAAGTAAAGAAAGGACGGGACGAAGCTATTACTCATGGCTTTGCTTTGGGCTTCCCCAGAAGGTCTCATACCAATGGAGATAGTAATTCCTCACTTATAAACCGATCGACCTCATACCAATCCTCCCCTTAATTGATGCTCGACTCCTTTCTCTGGAGCCCTCGAACGAAACCGGCCTCATACCAATCTCTTTGTTTGACAGTTTAGTCACTTTTGACTACACACTACTAACATGGTTAAGTTTAGAGGACGGGACGAAGATGTTACTCATGGTTTTGCTTGGGACTTCCCCAAAAGGTCTCATACTAATGGAGATAATAATTCCTCACTTATAAACCGGTCGGCCTCATACCAATCCTCCCCTTAATTGATGCTCGACTCCTTTCTCTGAAGCCCTCGAACGAAGCCGACCTCATACCAATCCCTTTGTTCAACAGTTTAGTCACGTAGTCATGTTCAACAGTTTAGTCACGTTTGACTACACACTATTGACATGGTTAAGTTTAGGGCATGACTCTGATACCATGTTAGAAATAACAGATCTCCACAATGGTATGATATTGTCCACTTTAAGCATAAGCTTTCATGGCTTTGCTTTGGGCTTCACCAAAATGTCTTTTATGAATGGAGATAGTATTCCTCACGTATAAACCATAATCTTTCACTAAATTAACCAATATGGAATTCACTCCCAATAATAACACAAGCGAAAGAAAACAATGTGCGTTTCCTTTTATGGTTAATATTGTTCATGAGAGTTGTTTTATTTTTATTTTTTATTAATACCAAATTTTTTATTAAAATGAAATTGAAAAAAACAAAAAAAAAAAAAATCAAAAGTTTGGATATAGAACATATAATATATGAGACTAAAATTTGATTAAGAAAAGAAAAAAAAAAAAAGAGGGAATAAATTTATAATTTAACATATACAATAAGATACATGAAACATCTAAACAAATAGAAATATATCCGCCGGGAAAAAAATAAATTGGAGAAAAAAAAAAACCACGGCGGCGATTCCGATTTCCGAGTCTGTGAAACGGTTATCATTCTCAAGAATCGTTTGAGATTCCGAGTTAGTTACTTTGAGCTCCGGCGAGGAGTTCGACCAACGCTGCCATGGCTCTTACCTGCATCTCTAAAGCAGAGATGTAATCGGTCGTTTCTTCCAGAAGGTTCGGGAATGAGACTTTACGGCAACCTGGAACTAACCGGCCGAGAATTTTCACCTTCCTCTGCACTGCCGGCAACTTCTTGTTTTTCTCGCTCTTCGTCTCCGCCATACGCGACGGTTTACGGCCGATCAATTTCTTCGTCCTCCGACGCCTCGCGAGCCTTTGGCGGAATCGGCTCGCTAGAATGGCGCGACTCCAACGAGTCCTCCCCTTGGCTGCGGCGGCAAGAACGCAATCCGCGGTTTCGCGAACTAATCGTCCGTTGATTGGAGATCCTGCTTGCGCCGAGGACCGCCGCCGACTTACGTGCCGGATCGCTTCCACGAGCTTTGAAGAGTAGATCTGTTGCTCGACCTCTGTCCTCCACTTCCGTTCTCTGCCTTCCGCACAAACATCGGAAGCAATTTTCCGACGCTTATTCGGCTGCTGCAACAACCTTCTCGAGTTCTTCGATTCCGCGGCGTCTGAAATCGGAGCGTCGTCCATATACAATCTAATCGAAAACCAAATCTCTTAACTATTCAGTTACAATCTGCTAAAAAAACAAAAAACAAAAACCATCACAATTTGAACAACACCTACTAGTCTACCAGCAATAGAATCAATCTCAGAATCCAGAAGTACAATCGCATCATGAAGAAACAAAAAAACACAATAACAACAGGAAAAACAACATTCCACTAGAATCAAAGCAGAGTATACATCAATTGAGATAAAAGACATGAACAATACCTTGAGGATGTAGAATGTGTGAAGGATTTGGAGGTTGAAATGTGAGAGAAATTGATGTGACTTTAGAGAGAGAAACAGAGAAGCAGAAGAGAGAGAGAGAGAGAGAGAGAGAGAGAGAGAGAGAGAGAGAGAGAGAGAGGAGGATTCAAAACAATCACGGGAGATCACGCGCGGTGAGTTCTTCGAACACGTTCAATTGCTTCTCTCCTTTCTTTCCCCCTTCTTTCCATTTATATACATCTTCAATTCCCACTTTAATAATTTTTTTCCCTTTTTTTTTTTCATTTTGTTAAACATTTAAATTTTATTTTATTCCCAAATTTATTTTTGAAATGTGTATCTAATAAATTTTATATATAATATAAGATTAAAACTCGAAAGTCTATTAACTATAAAATAAAATTATTATTATGATTTAATTTTAGTGATTCCGAGAGATTCAGCACCTGATGACCCCAACATTCCCTTGTGTCTCCTGCGACATGGTTACGTTACTTAGTGGGAGAGGTACTGCTATGATACCATTTATTACGACCCATACCCAGAATTTGAATCATAATTCATAATCTAGATTCAGCACCGGATGCTTTCCGTATTGTTACTTAGTGAGAGAGGTACCGCTTTGATACCAATTGTAACGACCCATGCCCAGAATTTGAATCAGAATTCAGAATCTAGATTCGACACCTGATGACTTCAGTATTATTACTTACTGACAGAGGTACCGCTTTGATACCATTTGTAACGACCCATGCCCATAATTTGAATCAGAATTCAGAATCTAGATTCGACGCCAGATGGCTTCAGTATTGTTACTTACTGGCAGAGGTATCGCTTTGATATCATTTGTAACGACCCATGCCCAGATTTTGAATCAGAATTCATAATCTAAATTTGACACCTGATGGGTCCAGTATTCCCCTACGATATGGTTACGTTACTTACTCATCATCGCTTCTACTCTGGTTAAGTTACTCATCGCTTCAGAGAATGAAGACTATTCTAACAGACCAACATGAGTCCTTCTAGCACGTTTTGTCCTTACTCACATATACCATATAAAAATTTCTAGGAGGTCACTCTCTCCCGACCTGATAGTTATATGCAGTAAGCCGTTATTGTTGTATTTTGCTTACATTCCCATATAATACAAATATTCAATTTCTCAAATCTTACTTTCAAAATCTCTTTACCCCGTTTTCTAAAACTTTCTTCTTGAACCAGGGTCAGAGGCTCGAACACACATCACTTGGCCGTAAGCGACACAAGAACAAATAAGCTTAACTCACTTGTTGTTGGGAAGTGAGTACCGCAAAATCGCAAGTCCGCTGCCATCAAAGTACGATTATGACTTATGGAAAGGATGCATTTATTAGATAAAAAGTCGACGCAGGCTCTACTCGTTGCTCTAATGATTCATAATAACTCGATGGATCACACGACCATCGTGCCGGCTACATATCATTCAAATTTCTGCCCTATCAACTTTCGATGGTAGGATAGTGGTCCACTATGGTGGTGATGGGCGACGAAGAATTAGGGTTCAATTCCAGAGAGACAACCCGAGCCACAAAATAGGAAAGTACACCTTATTAATATCCTATTTTTACTATGGATCTTATTGGACAGTCCCTGTTCATTCATGTATCTCTCGTAGTTTACGTATAACATAATTAAAAAAGAATTAAAAAATATATTAATTTTAAATTTCAAGACAAAAATAGAAATTAAATAATTTTTTATAAAAAATTTGTTGGTCTCTTTTTATATATATATTATTTAATTTTATGATTATAAAGTAGAGGTTTGTTGAATGCTTTTATTAATCTTGGACCTAACTCAACAAGCAAACAACTTTATTAATTATATAATTTATTCATTAACATTAAAAAAATATATATGTTTATTTTTAAATAAATAAATATATTTGTGTTAGTTAATATATATAAAAGAAATTAAAAAAAAAAATTTAATAACCAAAAATAAAATATCAACACAATTTCTTAACTAATTAAAGGTATCTCATTTTTTCTAATTGCTAATTATATTTATTGACTTTAATTAGATCATGTTTGATACTAATTATATTTATTGACTTTAATTAGATTATGTTTGATCTTAGACAAATTTGATGCTCTTGTTACATCAGTGTTTAAAAATTAGTACGATAATCTAACCAACTAGCACGGGAAAGCTTAATATAAGATAATTAGCGATACCCGACTAAGTTAACCTATCATCGAATCGTTCATATCTGATTCGATTATGTGGGTTAAAAACGGGAGAAGATTAATGATGTATCATAAATAAAACTAAGTAGTTTGTAGAGGTGTTCATGGGTTGAATTAGGTCATATCGACTCGAGATATTTCTTAGACCCAACCCAAGTATTCGGAAAGGTAAATTTTTCAGCTCAAGCAACCCTTATTAAATGATGAACCCAACCCAACCAATTTATTATTTTTAATACAAGTCAAATATTAATAGGTAAAACTGTGAGGTTGATGGCGATATGTGACGGACCAAAATGGACAATATCTGCTAGCAGTGAGTTTGGGCTGTTATAAATGATATCAGAGCTAGACATCGGGCAGTATGCTAGCAAAGACGTTGGCCCCAAGGGGGTGGATGAGTTTGGGTTGTTACAAATGATATTAGAGTCTGACTCCGGGCAGTGTGTCAGTGAGGACGCTGGCCCCCAAGGGGTGGATGAGTTCGGGTTGTTACAAATGATATTAGAGCCAGACATCAAGCGGTGTGTCAGCAAGTACGCTGGCCCCCAAGGGGTGGATGAGTTTGAGCTATTATAGATGATATCAGAGTCAAACACCGGGTGGTGTGTCAGCGAGGAAGCTGGCCCCCAAAGAGGATGGATTGTGAGATCTCACATCGATTGAAGAGGGGAACAAAACATTTCTTATAAGGGTGTGAAAATGAGTTTAGCCTGTTACAAATGATATCAGAGCTAGATACCAGACGGTGTACCATTGAGGAAGCTACCCCAAAAGAGGATGAATTGTGAGATCTCACATCGATTGAAGAGAGAAACAAAACATTTCTTATAAGGGTATGAAAACCTCTCTTTAATAGACGCATTTTAGAACTGTGAGGCTGATGGCGATGCGTAAATTAAACACACCCGCACGCGCTCACACGCACACGCACATAATTTTAAAAGAACTCATGAACCATGTTAGTTCGGTTCAATCCAAACTAATTTTAAAAGAACTCATGGACCAATCCGACCCATAAAATTTTTATTTTCTTGACCAAGTTCAACTCGAGTTAGGTTGATCGAATTTTCTGAACACCCGACACGCAGTTAGGTGGGAAGAGGACATATAATGTTGGTTGCTAAGTTAAAAAAATAATGGTTGGGAAAGAGAAACCAACTAAAACAAGCACAACCTCACTTTGTCTCCATGTCGTGTCTTCAAAGCCAGGCAATTCCAATCTTTTAATATTAAAAAATTGTTCTTTCTTAATGATTAATGGATCATAATATATACTTATTTTATGCTTAAATTATCCATTTAATTTGTTTAATTACTTGACTTTAATGTTATGGGTTGGTCAAATAATGTTATGAGATCATCCATACTTTAATGTTATGGGTTGGTCAAATAATGTTATGAGCATTCTCGCTGGCACACCACTCGGTGTCTAGCTTTGATATCATTTGTAACAGCCCAAATCCACTGCTAGCACATATTATCCGCTTTGGTTCGTTACGTATCGCAGTTAGCCTCACAGTGGCACGTCTGGGGAGAGGTTTTCACACCCTTATAAGAAATGTATCGTTTCTCTCTCCAACCAATGTGAGATCTTACAATCCAACCCCTTGGAAGTCCAATGTTCTCGCTAGCACACTGCTCAGTGTCTAGCTTTGATACCATTTGTAACAGCCCAAGCCCACCGCTAACACATATTATTTGTTTTGGGTCGTTACGTATCATCGTCAGCCTCACAATGGGACATATGGGGAGAGGTTTCCACACCCTTATAAGGAATGTTTCGTTCCCCTCTCCAACTGATGTGAGATCTTACAATCCACCCCCTTGGAGACCCAGCGTCCTCGCTGGCACACCGCTCGGTGTCTGGCTCTGATACTAACAGTCCAAGCCCATCGCTAGCACATATTATCCGCTTTGGCTCGTTACGTATCGTTGTCAGCCTCATAGTGGGACATATGGGGAGAGGTTTTCACACCCTTACAAGGAATGTTTCATTCCCTCTCAAACCGATGTGAGATCTTACAATCCACCCCCTTGGAAGCCCAATGTCCTCACTGGCACACGACAGTGTCTAGCTCTAATACCATTTGTAACAGCCCAAACCCACCACTAGCACATATTATCGGTTTTAGCTCGTTACATATCGTCGTTAGCCTCACGGTTTTAAAACTCATATGCTAGGGAGAGGTTTCCACAACCTCATAAGACATGTTTCGTTTCCCTCTTTAACTGATGTGGAATCTTACAATCAGAGTCTCAAAATTAAACCAAAAGTATTATAAGATTATATAGAGAGAGAGAGAGAGAGAGGAATTGGCAGAAACCCGAGAATATAATTCCATCCCTAGTCTCATTTATCTAACGAAAAAAAAACGTTCTCCACTCGCTCTCTCATTCTCCATCTAAACAGGGAATCTTCTCCATATTTGGGGCAGGTCCCGCAAATTAAACGAACATCTTTAACTAAAGCATAAAAACCCGTTCGTTTTTTCTTGTCCCGAGCTTATTATAATAATATAGAATTAGGGATGTGTTGGCGAGCACTAATAGGGTGTGGATAAAATTTAGTTGTTCATATGAAAGGCAATGATTAGTGGTGATGTTAGCCAAATGAGCAAAGAGAAAGAGAAGCATGTGGTTGTTTTTGTTTACGTTTTGATGCCACTTTCAATCATGTGGGTGTATGTATGTATTCTTTCTCTTTTTTGGATTCTTTTCATTTTATTTTATGATTCTCTTTTAAAGATGTGGCATGCTCTCCTCCACATTAATTCATTTTTTTTAATATTTCGATATCCCGAAGGTTTAACTTCTTAACTAGGGTTAAATTTCGCTGATCGTGAAAGGGTCCATCCCGAAACCAAGAGGTACTAACTAAGAGCTGAGTCCTCACTGAACTGCGGGAGATAATTGTCCATCATACGACTCACCAACTTCGCTTGCTTCTATGGGAGGCTCGCTCCGGATAGTTTTAACTTCTTAACTAGGGTTAAATTTTGCTGACCGTGAAAGGGTCCACCCCTGAAACCAAGAGGTACTAACTAAGAGCTGAGTCCTCACCGAACCACGGGAGATAGTTGTCTATCATATGACTCACCAACTTCGCTTGCCTCTATGGGAGGCTCGCTCCGGATAGTTTTAACTTCTTAACTAGGGTTAAATTTCGCTGACCGTAAAAGGGTCCATCCCGAAACCAAGAGGTACTAACTAAGAATTGAGTCCTCACTGAACCGTAGGAGATAGTTGCCCATCATACGGCTCACCAACCTCCCTTGCCTCTATGGGAGGCTCGATCCGGACAATTTTAACTTCTTAACTAGGGTTAAATTTCGCTGACCGTGAAAGGGTCCACCCCTGAAACTAAGAGGTACTAACTAAGAGCTGAGTCCTCACCAAACCCCAGGAGATAGTTGTCCATCATACGACTCACCAACTCGGCTTGCCTCTATGGGAGGCTTGCTCCGAACAATTTTAACTTCTTAACTAGGGTTAAATTTCGCTGACCATGAAAGGGTCCACCCCTGAAACCAAGAGGTACTAACTATGAGCTGAGTCCGCACCGAACTACAGGAGATAGTTGTCCATCATACGACTCACCAACTTCCCTTGCCTCTATGGGAGGCTCGCTTCGGACAGGTTTGGAAACTTACAATACACGACTCTACGAAAGAAGGGCTTGCTGGGTTAGTAATGTTTTCAATATGATGATTTTTTCGTATTTGTTTGTTGAAAAATGCAAGACGAAAAAGGAACTCGTCTTTTCAACTGGGAAATGCGAGATCAGCTCATCCTAACTCGGTTTAGATTGGGTTATCAACTTATTTGAGTTGGGTTGAATTCAAATAAATGAAAACCTTATGGGTTGAGTTGATTCATGAGTTCTCATCACCAAACCCAAATGAAAACTTAGGGTTCGGTTGGGTTGTAACCATATTTTTCGGCTGGTTGGGTTGACCCGACCAAAAAAATGTCAGCCCACAAACCACACCGAATTTTGAGATTTCAAAAAATTCAATCCAACCCAAACGGATAAAAATATAACTATGTTTGAATTTGATAGTCCATGTCGCCCAATCATATGAACATCTTTCTCAACCGACCCTATATTTGTTAGAAAATAACCAATTTAAATGTTTAATTCAAAATCGAAGCTCGATAAAAAAAAAAAAAAAAACATCCTCGACTTAGAAACCGACCCGAGTAAATAAAATGAAGTCATACGGAATCTGAACCGATATTATTTTTTAATATGTTTTGTCTCTTTGCTTTTATTTAAAATAATTTAATTCTCATTCTTGCCTTCAACTTGCAAGCAACCAATAAAACTTAAGACAAATATTTTAATATATAATATATGTTTTATATAAATCATTAAAAATCAAACAACTTTAATTCACTTTTAATTTCAACTTTAAATTTGTCACATGATTAGGTTGGAGGAGAGGGATTTTCCACGTGTGTATATATATATATATATATATTAAATTTATAAAAATTACGGGATTGATCTTGTTCACGGGCGTGATTCGTCAAATAGCCTATTAAAATAGAGTCGATATATTTTTCAATTAAAAATAAAATAAAAAAGTCAGATGTTTGAATTTTCACCCAACATGTATAATCGACAAAAAAATTAAATAATTTATTGGTCGTATTATTATTATTATTATTATTATTAATAATGTAATACATTTATTATCCATTAACTTTTTTTTACATTTTGTTTTTATTTTATATAACTATTTCTCTATCTAAATATATAAACTAATTGATTTTAAATCTTTTAATTAAAAGACTATAATTATAAAAAAAAAAAAAAATTAAATACAATTAGGATTGTATTAGATTAATTAATTGAATAAATTTAACTTATTTTATTAGTAGATAATTAATTAATATTTGTCACACGATATTGGGCTTTCTCTTTCGGGCTTCCCCTCAAGGCTTTAAAACGCATCTGAGATCCACTGCTAGTTGATATTGGGCTTTCTCTTTCGGACTTCCCCTCAAGGCTTTAAAACGCGTCTGCTAGGAGAAAGTTTCCACACCCTTATAAATGGTGGTTTGTTCTCCTCCCCAACCAATGTGGGACATCACAATCCACCCTCTTCGGGGTTCAGCGTTCTCGCTAGCACTTTTTCCTTCCTCCAATCAATGTGGGACTACCCCCAAATCCACCCCCTTTGGGGCCGAGCGTCCTTACTGGCACACCGCCTCGTGTCTACCCCCCTTCGAGGAACAGCGAGAAGGTTGACACATTGTCCAGTGTCTGGCTTTGATACCATTTGTAACGACCTTAAATTAAGTAGAAAATTTCGAGTTGTTACATAAAAAGTAAGAGAAAAAAAAAAAAAAAAAGTAAGAGTAACTAATAATTTGTCAATTAGGAATGTTCATATGCCTCGAGAGCTTATTAACCTAAACTATCCTACTAAAATCATAAAAATTGGGGTGGGTTACATTTTTTTTTTTTCGAGTTTGGGTTGGGTTTGGAAAATCTAAAATTTAGGCCAGTTCGTGAATTGACATTTTTTTGGTTTAGTGAACCCGACCTACCCAAAAACAGGGTTTGAACTCAACTCAACTGTATCATACTCGTAAGATTATTATGAAAATTAAAAATATTTGACCTTTGTAACTAATGTTAGTGATGCACTGTGACATGTGAATATTTAATATTTGAGCGCTTTACGAGATTTTAGTCATTCACGTAATATGTATTGTAGATAAGTAGTGTTTAAAAACAACAACCAGACAACTCAGCTCAACCCAACCTAACTCAACTCAATCCAAGAATAGAGGGTTGGATTAGGTTGTGATCTCTATTTGGGTTACTCGGGTCACTAACCCAATCAACTCAAAATTTCGGGTTAAATCTAAAGATTTTCTCAACCAAACCCGTGTAAACCCCTAGTGCCAATGAGATGATTTTCTCAACACAGCCAGTGTAAACCCAAGTTGACAAATAATTGCTTATCCAATCCGCTACTTAACCTACAATACCTATTTAGTAAGATTCATCTAAAATGCAGAGTTGTAAAACAAGTTGAAGGTATGAGACAAAGTCCACTACAGCCTCCATTATAAACACCGATCAATTCCCATTCAATTCGTTTGCAAACCTTTTACGCTATCCAAATTGTAAAATTTCTATTGGCCCACGAACCCCAGACTCTGTGAATCACACCTAACTTGAGGTTCAAAATTCTCCCACGCCACCCAGCTTTGAACAGTCCGCTTGGACGCACATAACCAAAAGCCGACACCACAAAGATAAGCCTCTCTCTGACCTTCTTTTCAGCTCCAAAATCTATCCATTACCCACAAATTCTCTCAATCCAGGTTCTCAAACAAGAAACAGCTTGTGGGTTGTTCCCAAATTCAAGCATTTTCGATTGCCCTCGACGATTTGAGACGAGGGGTTTTGATATTGATAAGGAAATCGTTCTGGGATTTCTTTTTTGATGTTTTTGAAGAAAACCCAGTTGCTGATTTGCGTTTGAGCGGCTGCATGAGTGCGCAAAGCTCCATTTGTAGGCTCTTCAAGTTTGGGAGCTTGAACTTGGAGCTAAAGCAGCAGCAGCAGCAGCAGCAGCAGCAGCCATGGCTATTGGTTACACTCTCACACTCGGACAATCCCACTCTTTCAGCTGTTTTAAATTTTCAAAATCATTGCATTCTTCTCGAGTTCGCTGTCGCTTTGTTTCTTGTGGACGGTTGAAGAATCTGAATCAGACTTGTATTTCTTCCGGCTTCAGGTAATGCCCATGAGAGCTTTAAAGACTTGAAAACATTTAGATATTGTTGTCTGGTATAATTTTAGGAGGAAATGAACTAGATGTAGCAGCATTTGTTGTCTGATATCTTAGCTTAGCCAATGAATTAGCTGATAAATCTTGTTATGTTGAGGATTGTTGGGAGGAGTCCCGAGGAATACTATCTCTATTGATATAATGCAACCATGAGAGCTTATGCTCAAAGTGGACAATGTCATATCATTATAGAGAATCGTGATTCCTAACATGGTACCAAAGCCATGCCCTTAACTTAGCCATGTCAATAGAATCCTCAAATATCGAACAAAGAAGTTGTGAGCCTTGAAGGTGTAGTCAAAAGTGATTCAAGTGTCGAACAAAAGGTGTACTTTATTCGAGGACTCCAGAGAAGGAGTCGAGCTTCGATTAAGGGGAGGTTGTTTGAGGGCTCCATAGGTCTCAGGGGAGGCTCTTTAGTGTACTTTG